CAGCAACCTCAGCTGGTCCCACAGCTGAAGCCGCAGCAGCAGGAGAGGAAGGAGGAGAGGAAAGAGGAGAGGAAGGAGGAGAAGGATACCTCTGCCCCTCAGGAAACACCAGAGTCCCTCCAAGCTCAGCAGGGAGCAGATGAAGCTCCCCTGCAAGAGACAGCCCCCGAGCCTGAGCCCCCAAAACCAGATGAGAGGTAGGGGGGAGATGTTGATCTGTAGCGCCCTTGGGATGGGATGTGCCTACTGACATTGAGGATGCTCTGGAGGTGGCCCAGGGCTGTGGCTGGTGCTGTGATGTCAAGGGTTCTGTGTTGTCCATGGCTTTTCCAGGTGCCTGGGGTGTCGAGGTGGGAGAAGCCCACCTTGTGCCACTCAGGTGAGGGTCAGCCCCCTTGGGCAAGCTGGCCTGGCCCAACCACCACTGCTGTGCTAAGCAGGGCATTTGAGATCCTGCCAGGGCTACTGGGGTGCAGGAGTATGGAGTCATCAGATCATTAAGGTTGGAAAAGCCATCTAAGATCATAAAACCCAACCACCAACCCAGCACCGCCATGCCCACTAAAACATGTCCCCAAGTGTCACATCTACACATTTTTTGAACCCCCTCCTGGGATGGTGATTCCACCACTTCCCTGGGCAGCCCCTTCCAATACTTGACCACTCTTTCAGTAAGAAATTTTTCCTAATATCCAATATAGCCCTCCCCTGGGGCAACTTGAGGCTGTTTCATCCTTATAACCTGGGACAAACCTGGGGATGGGGGAAGTCGGGGCTTGGGGCTGTGATTCCTCTCCTCTGGCTCAAGCTATTGGCTCCCTGGATGAAGGGAGTACCCTAGAGCTTGGCATGGTCAGAGGAGGCAATTTCCTTCACAAGAGGCAATCCTCTCCCTAGGCCACTGGTAAAAACTCATCCGTGGCTGCCTGTGCTGTACAGGTGAATTATTTGGTGTCCAGGTCCCTGGTACAGCATGTGGGAAGTTCATTTACCAGTCTCTGCCTTTAATTATTGAACATGTCCATTTTCCCATGGTTTGGCGAGCACCACTGCTTTGTGCAGAAGGGAAGCATAATGGACTTTTTCAGCCTTTTATTCAGTTTAAATTGTAGACCACAGCTAGGGAATCTCCAGTTTAAAAGAATGTGTAAGAAGCTTTTTTATTTCTTTTTTTTTAATTACATCCAGGCCCAAGGGCTGGATAGAGTGGCTTTAGTTCATGTCTACCTGTGGTGCCTGTTCTCTGGGCAGAGGGCTTGGGAGTCCCATGCTGGGCACTGGGGACCCCCAGTTAGCACTGGGGACCACAGTTTAACACAAGCAAGGCCCCACAGGGCTGGTTTGGGCAGCTGTGTCTCCTGAGCTCCCGACAGCCTTGTCCCAGGCCAGTTCTGGGCACCCATCTCCAGCGTCACATCACACCAGGCTCTCCAGGAGGCTGGGATGTTTGGAGGATTTATTTTCTTTTTCTCTGTGTCTTGATTTTGTAAGAGAGGAGGAAAAAAACCCCAAACAAGCAGCATGTCTGGGCTGACAGGTCCCCCTGGGCTTGGAGCCACTGGGGTGTTGGGATCTCTGAGCCCTGGGAGGTCCCAGCATGGTGGGAAGTGGCCAGAGGACATCCTGCCAGAGAGATGGAGGGTCAAGGATGTTTAATCTGGTGCCTGTGTCACCGGCAGCCCCCTGACCGTTTGCTCCCTAAGGGGTCCCTCTGTGTCACTCGGATTCCCGGGGCAGAGTCTCCCAAGGGAGTGGGAACTCACTGCGTCTTCTTCAATTAAAAAAACCATAATTATATAGAGATAAAGAAGAAGTCTACTCCTGGCTTCTCCTAATCTCTCTACGTTGACTGCGCAGCCCTTTGCAGGGGGACCTGCTACCTTTTTAGAGGCCTTCCTGGTAGCAAGAGGAGTTTTTTGCCATAGCCACACCGGCTCAAGGCCCATCTGGTTCCCTAAATTGCAGCCTCAACCCTGTCTGAGGTGTGGGGGCTGACTGTGCTCCCCAGTGCCTTGCTGGGTGGTGAGCGAGGTGTGTGTGCTTGCAGGGAGCAGGCAGAGGCGGAGGTGCAGGACCCCAAAGCACGAGCCAAAGCCAACTGGCTGAGAGCCTTCAACAAGGTCTGCATGCAGCTGCAGGAGGTGAGCAACCGGGTCCCGGCGCTGGCTGCGTGCTGGGGTGGGGGGGCACAGCCCCTTCCCATGCCTGGGCATCTTCCAGACGCCTCTGCTTCCCCGTCCCGTGGATGTCCCATACCCTGGGGGCAGTGGGAACCTGGGGGCCCCAAGAGCAGTGGCCCCACAACCCCATTCACGCCAAGTGGGACCCCCATGTGGGGCAGGGAGTACTGAGGACCCTCCCCTGGTGTGTGCTGCATGTGGTGTGCTGGTGCGAGCCCCTCTGCCCTCTCCTCTGTGTTGAGTTGACAATTTTTTGTTCTGTTTTTAGACTCCATCCTCCATCTTTTCTTTTTGTTTTGGCTCTGGATTCGCCCCCTGGGGCTTCGATCCCCCTCCCCACCGCTTCTCTTTTCAGTTGTCCACTACCATGGCCCTTGCACCCGCGTCTCCCCTCCCTGCAGGGAAGGGGTGTAGCCTGCCTGCAGGTAAGCATGTTCAATGGCACCAACCCAGCAACGTGTGCTTCCCTGTGTGTGTGTGTGTGCAGGGATTGCCCCATCAGGGAGGTGCAATTGGCTCTTTCCTCCCTTCTCCCCTAAAGGGAGGTGGCACTGTGGGATGGTCCCTGCACACACCCCCGTCCTGGTGTGCTCTGGCTTTTCCCTGCACTTCTCTCCCACTGGCTGTGGGTCCGGGCAGACCTGCTTAGCCTTTCCAATGATGCTTCTTCAGTCCCAAAACCCCTGATTTTTTGCCCAGGGCAGCCAGCCCCACTGCTTTGCCAGCCCCAGCCCCTCCGCTGAACCCTGTCCACCACTTGCCAAGCTCAGCCTGGGGAAGGTATTTTATTCCCAGTGCAAACTCTTTGCTGAAGCAGCCCCATCATTTTAGGACCACGCTTTTCTCCACCCACCTCGTAAACCCTTTGCGTGCTCCCCAGCGCTGTGGGCGCAGGCAGGGTGTTCGTGGTGGGGGGCTGCTGCGCGCACTGGGGGCTTAGTGCTGTGCCCATGACGGCCACCCTGTGTCTTGCAGGCTCGCGGGGAAGGCGATGGAGAAGCTAAATCCCTGTGGTTCAAAGGCGGGTGAGTATGTGTGGATGCCGGGACTATCTGCTCTCTTTGGGGTCATGCAGCTGCTCTCACCTCCTCGTTAGGATGTAACTAATGAACTCATCGGGATGAGGATTGGTGTGTGGAACTGTTGCTGAGCTGTGGGCATGTGGGGGGACAGATTTTGGGGCTGAATGCTAGTCGCGCGGTGCTTTTGGAGGAACCAGCAGAGATGCCACCATTCCATGTCCCTGACAGCCACTGCCATGGGGGAGAGCGAGGAGGTGAGTGGGTGGGGATGGGACTAAGCTGGGGTGGCCTTTCCTGCTTCTCCCCTGCCACCTGTGGCTCCAGTGGTGCCATGGGGAACCCCGATCCCCTCACCCAGATGGGCTGTGGGTCTCGCCCCCGTCTCGACCTTGCTGGTGGCCCTGCTGCGAACCCCAGCAGCACCCAGCAGGTTTCCCTGAGAACCCCCCAGGTCATGCCAGGGTTTTCTTGTGGACAGCACTGGAGGCTGTGAAGCGGCGTTTCTGCCCCAGCCATGCTGCCTCAGTTTCTCTTGCAGCAGAACGGCTTGGTGCTCGCCTTTGGTGTCCCAGAGGGAAACCCCAGCTCTCCTACTCCATGCTGCAAAGCCAAAGCTAAACAAGCCAAACAGGCTGCTTTTTCCCTGCATTTCACTTTCACACCACTGAAGCAAAATATCTTCGAGTGGGGAAAATTGCAGTTTTCTGCCAGAATCCCCTTCCCCCCAGTTTTGAGTCTGGTGATCCCTGCCCCAGCTGGGGCAGTGGTGGAGATGGGGGTCCCACAGGTGGGTCCCAGGCCACCCAGGGGTCAGTCTGCAGTGCTGTCTGCCAAATCCCAAGCGACTACAGGGCAAGAGCAGGGGACCCTTTCCTGCCTCAGTTTCCCCTTCCCCGCTGACTCTCGTCTCTCTTGCAGGCCTGGTGGCGGGCTGATTATTATAGACAGCATGCCGGACATACGCAAGCGAAAACCCATCCCCCTAGTTAGCGATTTGGTGAGGTTCCTCCTAACACGCTGCACCACACAGCTGCCGGCTTTGCTCCTGCTGCGCCCCGCTGGACCATGCTGTGTGCCTGCCCCGGCCGGCGCTTGCCGGGTGCCCATGCCCTGCTCCCCAGCTGCCTCTAACATGGCTTGTGTTTTCTGTTTTCTTTTCTCTGGCCTGGCTTGGCCATCCCTGGCGGCAGGGGGGCGGCAGTAAGGTTTCTGCGCTGCATTAACAGCATGCCCGACATTAAGCCTGGACGCAAATCTCTCCCTCTAGTCAGCGATCTGGTGAGCGCAGTCCGAGGGGTTAAAGAGAGAGCACCCTTGGGTGCTGCTGACCAGCCCCGCCCAGCCTCCTCCAGCCTCTCCAGTGGGGGGTGGGGGTGTCCCCGGCTGCTTTTGGGGGTCTCCTGGCTCTTGCAGTGGGGAGCTGTGAGGACAGCACAGCTGGACTCTCCCCACCTGAGGGTGCTTCTCTTTAACGCAGCTCTAGGGCCCTGTCCCTACACCAAGCATCAGCCCAGGGCTTCCTGGGGCGGCGTCTGGTTTCCCATGTTTTACTGGTGTTGCATGCCCGGTCCCTTCCTGTCCCATCTGCCATAGGCTCCCTGTGGCTCAGGCCATGCTGGTTTTGGGTAGAGGGACCCACGGAGCAATGGTGGGTGCTGCTGGCTTTTCTGAGGTGCACAGGACCTGTCCTCCTGGCCCTCCCCTTGTCATGCTGTGCCGCTGCAGCCCAGTCCCCATGCTGGGGTCCCATATAGCCCCTGGGCTGTAATGCACAGGATCACTCTGCTGTCACCCCAATGGTGACAAGAGACAGTAATTTTGGAAACCAGACACCCTTAGCACCCAGAATTAAGTGCCCTTCACCTCCTTCCCTCTCTTTTTACCTTGTTGCCTCCACTTTGTGCCCTCCCAGGGTGCTTCCATCCCATCCCCAAATCGCCTGTCCTCTCCCATCCTGCTGCCCCCCCCACCCTTTGCTGCCCTCACCCCAGTGCCCTCCACCCCCAGCCCGCTGGGGCAGCTGCTGATGCTTCTGCCCTGTGCTGTGTCAATGTCGGGGTTTCGGAGCGTTGGGTTGTGGGTGGTGATGGGGTGGGCAGAACTGGGGGGAATCACTGCCTTTCCCTGATGGGATTGGACAGGCTGCAGTCAGTGCTGTGGTTTAGGGTAGGAAGCCCCCCAGGGACTGGCCTGGTGCTGGGTGAGGGGTTGGTGTTGCTCCGATTCCCACTCATTTC